GAGAGAGAGAGAGGGAGGTATCAAGAAGAAACATTGTAGTTATGATCTCATTTTGGTCTTTTGAACATAAGTATCTATAATATCAGTCATAATAGAGATCAAAAATTGGAAGAATTGTAAGTGCATAAACAACGGTCCCTTTTTCCCAAGTAATACACGGTCTAAAACCATTAATAACCAAATCCATTAAGGAGGTAAAAGGTCATATGCCAGCAATGGGTTGAAAACTGAATAAACTAATAAACTACATATCCATAAGGAGAAACAAAAAGACAGTTATGGATTGAAACTTTACCCAGCAAGGCCTTGCGAAGCATTTCCGTAACAGTGTCCACCGCATCATCTTCAACAAGTGTGAGTAAATTCTTCCCAAGGACAGTCTCCACAGAAAATCCCGTTGATTCAGCAATTTTTGTGTTCCAACCATTAATATGGCCATCAGAATCCACTGCAAAAATTGGCACATTAGCTGTTTCTATCAGTCGCACCATCTCACTCGTTACCGCATTCAACTCATTTATACCTTCAAGTTTAAGATCATTCAGCTTCGCATCAATCACGGTTTGTGTATTCTTGCAATTTGCCATATCCTTAGATGATCCTCTAAGTATCAATTGTAAAGAATGGATTGCATCCATCTCATAATCCTTCCACGGAAAACTCCTGGTCTTGACAACTTCCAAGAAAGCCTTAAACGAAGACCTTGGATGCATTCTCCTTTTATCATCTTTATCATTTGGGTCATGTTTTGCACCACCCCACCTAATTTCACTCGCAGTGTGAGACCTAAACCAAAAAAGCATGTCTGTCTCAGTTATTTTTACAGCTGCCATTCCACAAACTAAGTCCCCTAGAGAGACACCATCAGGATAACCAGCCTCAACAAGACTATCAGTACTTAGGCCAGTGGAATCAGTGTGATACTCAGAGAGCCACCGAGCTAAATCACGTATATGAACCTCGCTTGGAGTTACACCCAATCTCCATAGCTTGTTCTCATATAGAAGAGTAGCTCCATCACACTTAACAAGATCCATGACATTTGGGTTTTTTGTCACAATCCCAAGAGGAGCATCTCTTAGAAGCATGTCACATAGCATGGTTTGAGTGCGTAAGATGTTCTTCTCCCTCACTAGAGCTTCCAATTCCACCTCCTTGTTCACATGGATAGCGAAAACTTGCATAAGAAACTCACAGGCATATCGAAGAGGAAAAGGAACAAACCTTGGGCTAGTGTTATGGCAAACCACTAAGCCCCAGAGCCTCTTTCTCTTGGGACCATCTGCAATGTTCTCTTCTTCATCTTCATTCACAACGACCGCCATGACCAATGAAGCTATTGAATCCATGTTCTCCATATACTGCAAATGGCAACTGTGTGGGGCTCGCAAAGTCGAGCCACATAAGGTCAAGTCAGATGCCAATTTCTCATCTTGGAAAACCCTAACATGTCGAGCTCGACAATCACAAATCATCCTAACCCCGTTCTTCATGAATAGAAACCTGGCAGCTTGGGGTATATCAGTGGCTGGATAATGAAGACCTAAATAAGGCTCAAGACCCTCTTTCGTAATCTCTGAAATAACCTCACCATGATCGTCTTCATGAAATTTGTAAGCCATGGTTCGGTCATAACCAGTCAATTCATGAACCTCTTGGACCACAGTATGACATAACCTATCTATGTTGCCACTTGGTAGAGATTGAAGCCTAGAAATGGCCTTGGCTGCAAGCTTATAAGACTGTAAAGCCCCAGCCGCTGTCATGGGAACTTCAGAGGGCCTAACAGGCTCGAAATCTATGATTAAACCAGCAGTTACTCTATGAACAATGGCATAGAAGGGTTTACCTGAGCTTTTACAGTGGACCAATATGGGGTTTAAAAGGCTGATTTCTCCGAAACCAACTGCTTTTTGAAGTGCAGCAGCACTTGGTGCTGTGAAAATGGTCCGAGCATCAGTGCCGATGCCTAAAGTGGGTTGTTCCCCAACACTAGGAACTGCATGGCTAACCATAGTGAGCATCTCGGGTGCATTTTGGCTATATGCTATGACCCTGAAAGTATTCTCATCTAAAGCCAGAAGGCACCCAAATGGCTGGATCAGCTTACCCTTTTGTATGTGTTTAAGGTAAGCCATTACCTTCTCAGAACCAGGACAATCCACTGCTGCATCCTTGCTCACTACCACTGATCGGGAGTAATCAAAGGAGCTACCTGACTCCTCATATTCAGCATGAAGCTTTGCATCTACAGTGGTTTGTGCAATAATTCTTTCACTTTGCTTGGACCTGCTAGAACTGCTTGAAGATTGGGTGGGCCTAGTAGTAGACATTTTTTACCAGAGTAGATAACAAGAAGGCCACAAAACCAAACCCAATTTCTCCCACGCAAGTTTTAGGCAACAGGAATTATCTTCCACAGGAAACAGCAGGTAAATGCTCGAAAATACTTGTCGTTATCAAAGATGAACCAGTGATAAAATAAATGGTCAGAAGACCATAACCTTTTAGACACAAGAGTAACTTCTGAGTCCACTCTATTTTCCAGCACTGATACCGTAAGAAGAGCTCTAATAAATAGGATACACAAACCTTACACCCCAATTGCTTCCAGCCAGGCTATGTTTTCAGCACTGGGAAAATATAGATAACTCAAATTGGCAAGAAGCAAATACCCCGAATGAACTTTCCTTCAATATGTTTCTTCTCTTAACAAGGACATTGTTTCTGAAAATAGTAAGAAAGGAACATTCTTCATACCTTTAAGTCTCCTTTTTCTCCTCTCCAGCTCCCCTTGACTGATACTACAGATGATTCATCTGAAGAACTACCCACTATCTGAAAATCTTAAATATTAGGACTCCTCTGTCTCCAAGCTCTCAAACACAGTTCTATTAAGAAAAGAACCACACATCCCAAATGTAATAAAATACATCAACTTCAAGAAACATTAATTACAGGATCCATTAAAAAAGGATACCATTTTTTTTTTATTCTCATTCGTGTCTGGGTGATATCACTTTTTTTTATTATTCGTGTCTGGATCATCACTTACCTCTCTGTAACTACACCATACTGCCTGGAAAATTGGGCCTTTAACTTCCTTGAAAGCGTTTATTCCGTACAGCCTCCTTTAAAGTAATTTTTGGAAGCAAAACCCAAATAAAACATGCCCAAAATAACCAACCCATCAGAAACCGAAACAAAGCTTCTTCATCGGTTTTGGCAAATTTTCCTCCTCTTTATTGCAATATTGGGAGGTTTCCACTAAATTTAGTGGACTTCCAAATCGAACCAATCAACAAAGAGAAGGGAAAATGCAAAACCCAATATGTTAATTCAGTAAGAGTTTCCACAGTTACCTCTAAATCAAGCAATTTCCGCTATATTTTTCAGTTCACCCAACTCTGAACAAAGTTATCATGCAGGCCCATGGCCCCAAAAAAGTAGATACTGAAAGCTCGTCACATAGGGTGGTTTTGGCCATAGATTGAAACCATAATTGTATTTGATGGTACCTCTGCTGTATTTGGCGGTACTGCAAAATCCAGTTGAAGAAGTGTCTGGTCGTGTTTAGAGACAAAAGAAACATGGATTTGAATAGAGAATCGACCCAAAAGCCTGGTGTTAAAGAAAGCGAAACCCCAACTAGAGAGCTCGAGCACGAGCCCCATTTCATGGCGCTTGGTTCTATGAATCCACATTTATTAAATCATAGAATAGAGAGGTGGCCATGACTGCGTGCCAGATAGATAATATAAAAACCACCACCTGATACAGTCGGTTATAGCGGTGAAGTATACTCAATCATAGTACGGAGGAGTATGGAAAGAGTGTAGGGTAGTCCTAAGGTCATCACCGTTGTTGATGGGACAGATGATGATGGATAGAGAGGGAGACCCACGATACAAAACTCTGGGTCCCTTGGAATCGTTCATTGTTAAAATAAGATGGACGGTGGTCAAGCTAATTGGGTCTCCTGGAACTCTGCATTGTTGAAATGGATGGTGATCAGACTAAGGTTTGTGGTTTCCATATAATCCTTTGGAGTAGCATTCACAGGGTCAAATGTGAGCCTTGAGGGGAACTTTGGATGACGATTTTCGGGATTGTATACTATGAGAGTGAGTGTCTATACCCGCATTATTTTAACTAGGGATATGTACGTGCATTTTACGTGAAATTAATTTAATTATGAAAATTTATTTTTAGTTTAAAATAATATTTTAAAAGAACTTTCGATTATGCCCACATTATTTTAACTGGATATATGCATGTGTGTTTTACGTAAAATTAATTTAATTATAAAAATATATTTTTAGTTTAAAATAATGTTTTGAAAGGACTTTGGATTATATAAAAAGAGCTTCTAATAGATCCATCTTCACATAATTATATAATTATAGAGATAGAAGATAGACCTACCTTACTGGCTTTAGATAAAAATAATTGAAAAACAATACAGTGAATACAAAAATAAGAAAATATTTTTCTTTTATTCTAATTTAATGCATTCTGCATATTTATAGGTCAAACAAAGCCCAAAAATTTCCTTATTATGTTTTTTAAATTTTAATTATATCATTCACTAAATTAGTTTTACTTATATTAATATATATTATTTATTTATAAGTTAGTATTATTTTGATAAATTAACAAAACTAAAAATACAAAAAAAGAAAAACAATAAAAAAACTATCTTTTTCTTTTTTTCATTTAGCAATAAGTTTTACTATTTTAACTTATATAATTTGTATTGCTAGTAATTATTTTTCGATTTTTATATTTTCGGTTATATTATTTTTAATATAATTAATTTTATTTTTAATTACAAAAGTACATATATTATTCACTTATAAGTAAAAATAATTAAAAAAATTAGAAAACATGAAAGTACAAAAATATGTCACATGATGCAATAAAATTATAATAAACCGGTATCTATTGCAATAAAACTAATCATAGTGTTGGTATTGTTTATTTTTCTTCCTTTTATGATAGTAACAATTTTCTTCTTTTATTTTATTTTATTTTGAATTTGAAAAATTATAAAAAAAAATGAAGATAGAGAATGAAAGAAATAGAAGAAGAAAAAAAGAAATGAAGAAAGCAAATTGGAAGAGTTGTTGTTTTTCTTTCTTTTTTGTAATTACTAATCATAATGATACCTTAATTTTCTAATTTTTTATTTACTGATGTGATTTGATTTTAAGATAGTTATTTCTACAAAATAATTTCATTTATGTTAGTACCTCTATAATTTGTATTCATGATTAACTATAATTATATTTTTTCTATTTTTTGCATTTACATTTATATCATTCTTGACATAAATTAAATAATTTTTACACAAAATATAAAAAATTTATTTAAAATTGAAAACAATAACATTAATGATTTCCAATATATGAAAGAAATTTACATGAAATAGAAAGCTACATTTTATATCATATATTCAAATGCTCACTAAACATAATTTTTTTTTATTGAAATATGAAAGAAAATAAAGTATATATTCAAATGCTCACTAAACATAATTTTTTTTTATTGAAATATGAAAGAAAATAAGGTATAATATAGGTAATTGGAAGTTATAACATAGAAAAGTTTTGAAACATGGGGGGAGAGAGGTAAATAAATTTTAGAAAAATTTATTTATTAAGAAAGAGAGAGAGTGTGTAAAGTTGATTTATTAGAAAAAAGAGAGAATGGGGTACGTGAGAATATTAATAAGGATAGAGAAAATAAAGAAAATAGTAAGGGTACAGAGATTTATTAAGAGAGAAATTTTAGGAAAGTTGATTTATTAGGAGTGAGAGTAGGTACATAAGAATATCGGTGAAGAGAGAGAATAGAGAGAGAAACGTGGGACAATTGTAGTATTATATTAGTATATATTTTATACTAATTCAATAATCATTATTGAAAATTATAATAAAACTAATTTATTTGTGTTACTATCAGTATTTATAACCAAATAGTTACAATTTGTAGTATTAAATATATTTACTACCGTGAGATTATTATTTTCCTAAAAATATACTATACTTGTATGATTCATATATCAAAAAAAAAATTTGCTGCAATTAAACAAGGAAAAAGTTTATATGAGGTTGCAACCTGAAAATGTAGAATTACATTTGCACCTCAAAAATCAATCAGAAAATGTTGTTTTAATGTTAATGTAACAATCCTAAACTTTTGAAAAAAAAAAAAAAAAAAGAAGAAGAAAATAAACTTTTAATACATAATGATTCGTTTGAACATGATGGTCCTTCGGGACCATCTCTACTTTTCAAAGCTTTTCGTTTAAAAGCTTTGTTGCTTCTTTGCTTTTGCCACGTCCACTAAAGGACGTGGGCTTTAATCGTTTAAAGCGTAAGCTAACGCTCACACCTGGAACGTAATAAAAGAATAAAATAATATATTAGTAGAATTTAAATTCAGAGAGATGAGGACTCCTACCTTAGAAAACTTATGAGATTTTTTTCTCTGGTCGAAACACAGTGAACTCCTCTCTCTAGCCGAATTTTTATCGGAAGCTCCTTCTCAAGTATTTGTGGGTAAGTGACATCATCTTCCTGAAAAATAGTCTGTTTTTAATAAATAGTGATATTTCATTCTACTGCTTTTGAATATTTAGATATTGTAAAATTCATGTGCAAATGACTGCCTTATTATTTAAAAATTGACATTTTTGTAATTGATTATAGTATTGTTGTGAAATGTTTATTTGCAATTAACATCCCATAAATTGTGATAATTCCGTATTCTTAAATTTCTATAAGAGTTTTCCTATACATATTAGATTGGCAATTATGCTAGAATGTCTTTACGAATTGCTACTTTTCTAAATTTGAGCCCAAAATGTTTGATTGGCTGAAATGTTATTGAAAGTGACTGCTATTAATGGTTTTAGTGAAATTCATATTAGTGATTTCAGTGATATGTTGAGTACATGATATTTACTACTTTCGAATGTTTAAAGAGATTTTGAAATAATTTAAGTATGCAAGTGGACTCATCCGGTTCGCCGGTGAGGTATAAGTGAATCTATCCGGGACGCCGGTAGGGATTAAGTGGACTCATCCGGTTCGTCGGTGAGGTATAAGTGGACCTGCAGGGATTAAGTGGACCTATCTGGGACGCCGATAGGGATTAAGTGGACCTATCAGGACGCTGATGGGGTATATAGGTGACCTACTTGGGACGCCAGTAGGGTATTTTGTGAAATCCTTTGAATTATGCATTGACGCGTTAAAGTGTTATGTACATTTCAATTATTCGAATTATACTTAATTATGCATTTATTGAAAGTGAAACTGTTGATGCATTTCTGTTAATAGATCTTCGTTTTGGAAAATATTGATATCCTTCAACCATGATTATTTTTAGGATTATGATGATCACTTACTGAGTGGCCAAACTCATCAAACTATGGTAAACATTTTTCAGGATAACTACGGTTTCATTTGTGTCCTCGTCAAGATCAACTTTGAGAATGTATTGTAGTTTTGCTTAAACTTTCTTTTGTTACTTTGTAAGACCTCGCCACTATAAATTTGTCCTATCAATAGATGTATATATGTTTTGTCTGTCACATCTC